TTCTATGCTATGAAGTACCACGTACTTATAACTTCAGTGGAGCGTTCCTTCAATCGAGGCAACAACATCCTTTCAACGATAGCAGCGCATCATCAGGGGTTTCTTCCATCGAGCACGAATGGAACATCTCAAGGATCTAAAAGAGAACATTACTAAAACAGCTTTGAGTTCTGACTACCTATAGCAAGGAGCGTAAAGTAAGATGTTCTTAAATTAATTATTAAAATTCTCAGCGTTCCTTGCCCAGAACCTGGACATTTGTCTTCACGTTTATCTGATGGTAGTGTGGATTGTGGATAGCTGGATTCACAGGGACGTCAATTCAACTATACAACCATGCAAGTTCTGCCTAAACTCCCCCCTTCCCTCCCACCCCATCAGGCAATTATGTCCGCAGGTTTTTATGTAGAAGGATGCACACCAGACCAGCCCAGGCTTTCCCTCCTCTTGGATGTATGCAGTAGGACCTCCATTTGCAAGTTAACTCACCATGCGGCACTGTGTTGCTGACGGAAGAGCTGACAAATGGCGTGAAATGGTACATAATCGACGTCGACTTTCTTTCATTACTGCCCGGACCTTCCTGTCTTGGTGGTGTCCAGTAGATCGATCCCATACATAATTTTCTCGTTGAAATTCCAGTATCCATTTGATTTCATTTTCGCCTTTTGTGTTGCACTCTTACCCCCTACCTTGAATTCCAATTGGTCACCTTTCATCATTACCTCCACCTTTGAAGCTAGAACTGCTTTTGTTTTTTTTTCTTACAACAAAATATGTACAAACCTTCTCAACGGATAACAGCGATATCACAATGTCCACAGAAGCGTTTATTTTCTGCAAATAAAGCAGCACTTTCCAATCGGCAATGCTTTCCAGTGTCTGTGCTCCATCCAAAGCGATTAGATACTTCAAGCGGAAAGTGACAGCTTGGTCCACGATCGCACTATCCAACTGCAGTTTGCCTCTGATTACATGGTCTGCAAATCTGGAACAACACTTTCAATTAGATATCTGGAGCAATACTCTTTATTAGCACATATGGAGCATACCTCCTTTAATGGAAAACAATAAAACTCACTTTCTGATCACATTCAAGTCATTTTCAAGAAGCCTCGTCATCACAGATTGCCGTACCCCTCGTGGAATTGCTTCCCAACATGTAAATAATATTGACCATCTATCAGCGTAGGCCTTTGCTCGGTCTTGGTCCTTCCAGCTGATGTCCGACAACATGCTCACAAGATACGTAGTTTTGATCTAAAACATCTCGTTATGCGCACGTTGTGTCACTGCAATGAGTATGAGCGATGACCATAATTGTGATGAAATGACGGAAGATTTTTGACTGGAACATTAACTATAGCAAAAAAAACTTAATCGACCACCCTCGGCACACGTCGCAAAAGAGATGCGTCCCTAGTTGGCTGGAGAATTTAAAATTCAAGAAACAGCTAAAGAATTCGTAATTAAAAAGGTTGAGCGCCTCCAAAAATGCTTAGCAGAAGCTACCTTAGGTCATAGTGTTAGATAAAGGATAAAGGATAAAGCATTTGCCGTTGATCAATCCCTTTTTGGGATGCGGCACGCATTCTACTTCCATTTGTACATTCGTAGTGGCGTTTGAATGCGATGTGGCCTATACAATGACTTGCGGGGGCCAGCCGATGTACAAGTCAGTGTTTTTATCCTCCCAGACAAGTCTGGTACCAATTAACCGACCCCGGAGGGAGGCTTGGTTGGCCCGGGCGACTCACGACCCAGGATTTGATCCCCGGACCGCTCGCGTGGTAAGCGTGCCACTTGCCACTACACCACTTCCGCCCCCATGGACAGACAATTTATTTCACTGAGGGAGCTCGGCAAGCTAAAAGGGATAATGAGACCATAACTGTACAAACTCCGCGATAACAACACACTATGACCAACGACCACTTGACACAATTTGATAAATTCAGACCTTTCTATACATCCTTGTTGGCAAACACTCAGAACACGCAACCGTCTTCTACTTTGTGGTCGTTGAACACGACTGACAGCCTAAAAATCTATTTGTGTTGACATACATACTGTAATAAGTAAATAGTAGAAACAAACTTACATTAACGAAAAAAAAAAAAAAACAAAAACAAAAAAAAGTCATTACCTCATCACTTGTTCCAAGACCAAAGCAATCGTAACTTCTTGACCTTCGAAGTACTTTAGAGCAGGGCACAAATCGCACACTGAATAGAGAAGGATGCAGGACTTCGTATTTCGAATAGCACAAATGGTAGTTTATAATATACCTACTGCTTTCACTGCGAATCTTAGTGTGTTGCAGTCGGCTTCAAGAACGTCACAAAGAAATTTGATTACGCCTTTGCAGATGCCGCAATTCCGCCTGCAATTAGTGCAGCCGATTGAACCAAGCTCGAGCGCTTAGTCGAAAATGTGAACTGTCACCTCTCGTGAAAAGAACCAGTGATGTGCAAAGATCCCATCCGTGATAAACATTTGTTTCAGAAGCTGCCGGACCTCGGTTTGGCTGTAAATATTGGTAAGATAAATACGTAAGCTCTTCAAAAAATTTACGAGAGACGTAAAGCAGTTCTTATCCTCTTATCGAGGCCTGGTTGGCTAAAACGGGATTGAACCCGAGGACAAGACATGTGGCAACAATGCAACTGCCTCACCTCCACACGCCAATTGCTAACGCAACGCAAATCATGGAGATATGTGAAAGAACACCCTCAAAAACTAAGGCTACTTTTGCACAAAACAAACGGATAACAGCAGCAGAATCGATTCAAACATATGCCTATGCACATTTTTTATCCCTCTCCTACGGCGCCTTCACTAATGAAAGCCACGAATCACATGGAATACAACACTAATACTAATTTCATTAGCAATTGCACCGACTATCCATTTGGCAAATGAGTCCAATTTCCGAGAGCAAATTGTCACACACTCCGAAACTATGTTAACCATTCAAAAAACTAATCTCGACCACTCAAACTATACTTGCCATCCAACCTTCGCTTTTTATTGGTGTTATTTTTAGCTGCACTCTTTAATAATGGGATAAAAAGGATGACAGTGCACAGAAAACCTAATTTAGGCAGGAGTCGTGAAAATAAATAAGTGGTGCGCCACTATTAATAGTACATATGATAGTTATCAGAAGACTTTGGTATGCGACTATGTTTTCTAAAACACTGTGAAAATATTGGGAGGGGCCATCTCAAATTGATATCTTACTTCTTACTTCTCGTAAGAAGTAAATATTCTTACTTCTCGACCGCTATTCGTCCCGGGCACGCCAGAAACGCAGGTCGCACATCTTCCAGGTCGCTCTGCTTCGGGCTCTTCTGCGCCACAACTGGCCGTACATCTTCACGAGAGGGTCTGCCCATCTGGTGGGGGTCTGCCTCTGGGCCTTGTTTTTCCCCTTGGGTACCAGTCAGTCACTCTCTTCGTCCAGCGATCATCGGTAAGTCTAGCCACATGACCGGCCCACCTCCGCTTGGAATTATAGATGGCATCGACGACGTCCTTCACCATCGTACGAGCGCGGATGGTGTCATTGGGTATGCGGTCTCGGAGCGTTACCCCGCACATGGCCCTCTCCATGGCTCGCTGAGTGACTGCGAGTTTCTCCTCTTCAGAGACTGTGGTGCTCCACGTCTCCGCCCCGTAGGTCATCGCGGGAAGAACATGCGAGTTGAAGACGTGATCTTGACCCGGGTCACTGCTTAGAATTATGTTACACTACTCGTAAAGTTATTGAACGCGCCAGCCGCTCTGCGCGGTCGGGGCTAACTCGATGGTGAGATCGTTGCCGACGTCATACTTTGCGAATCGAGCGAATCGCTAGCGAATCGCTCGAATCGCTAGCGAATCGAGCGAATCGCTAGCGAATCGCTCGAGTCGAGCGAATCGCTAGCGAATCGAACGATGCACCAGCGATTCGAACTGGGTACCAGCGAATCGAACTAGGTACCAGCGAATCTTGCATAAAGCTTGAAACTAGGGTGTTAGGCTAGGTTTTGAGTGAGTGTGTGGTTGCCGCCGGACAAAGAGCCTTTGGTGAGGCCACACAACCTCCGAATTTCGCGTTTTACTCCCCTATTTCGTCCACTATAGGTACTCGTTGACTGGTTTATACAAGGAGTAATTAAATTATTCGATCATGTCAGTCAATATCTAACACCGTTGGGCTTCATTCAAATTCAAATGGACTACAGTGCCGCGGCAGTAATCTTTGTACATCGGCGTCTTTGATTGATCTTAATTGATAGAGGATACAGGAAAGCTCACTGATAAGGACTTTTTCATATGATGAGGGGCATCTCGGAAATGTTTGCCTTCAAGTATCTGCGCCAAAAAATAGAAACTTGACGGCCAAGTTCAGGTTCCTATCATGTAGTTCAGAAACTCCACTGCGTATCATGAGCAAACCGTCCTTTCCTAGCGAAAAATGCCCAAATTAGCCTACCGTCTTTTTTTTCGCTCGAGTGCCAACTCGTTCAACGCTTAAAACTTACAATGTTCTCTCTGTGTTTGCATTAATGAGACCTTCCATGAACATTCTCAGTTTTCCTTCTAACCAGGAAGGTCTTTCAGGGCGTGACAAGCTTTTTGAAAACGGTCTTTTGCATGATATAGGGGCAGATGCGGGAACCACAGAACCATGTTCAATTTTTCCTGAACGGCCCTCTGAATACCAGAAAAGGAGGTCCCTAGTTCGATTCCTCGTGGTAACAAATTTTTGCATTTCGAGTTGACGTGCCAAAATTCGCGCAAAATGGAGTTAGAACCAACCAGAACAATCAGAACTCCATTTTGCGCGAATTTTGGAACGTCAACTCGAAATGCAAAAATTTGTCACCAAGAGGAATCGAACTAGGGACCCCCTTTTCTGGTATTCAGAGGGCCGTTCAGGAAAAATTAAACATGGTTCTGTGGTCCCCGCATCTGCCCCTATATCATGCAAAAGACCGTTTTCAAAAAGCTCGTCACGCCCTGAAAGACCTTCCTGGTACAGTCCCCTACTGAATGAAACCGTCACATTTCACCAGTCAAACTTAACACTATTGTGGGACTGAATCGCAACTATATATCTTTAGGTATCGTTTCAACAATTCTTTGAAAGCTTCACATGAGTCTTATGCTTATTACCATTGAATGTTGCTACGTACGCTCCCAACTAGTCGCACCAGCGAGGGGAGAGGGATTGGGCGAGGTCACTTCACGGAGTTGAATGCTTTGACAGCATAATGCAAGCACGTTAGGAACTGGAGCGATGCTTCACCAACAAATGACATTCCATCAACTGCCTCCCACAAAAGCTTTGTTTGACTGTGTTATGACAAACATACACCATGCCACATCTCATATTTGACTTTTTTAAGAACCAAGTTCCGCTATCAAGACTACATCACGGGTAAATCGCTATATACGAAGCAACACCACACTAACTCTACGTTTTGGCCAAACGCTTTCAACACATTTTATAGGTCGACCGAGTCCGAAGCACACTGTAGCTTGAACATGAGCGCAATCGAAAGCACTTAAGTTACAGTTCATGCTATTGGCCGCAGATACTACTTGTTTTTCATAATATCTCACACAAAAAGAATTCGAATATTAGACTGTCGAAAATTGGTGCTCAAAGCAACACCTCCAGATCGATTTGGCGAGGTAAAAGCGGTCGATAATGAAAATGCGGATGCCGAGTTTACTGCAAATGAGAAAAGAAACAAAGAAAATCGCCGATGAAGCCCTCAAACGAAGACTCCCCCTCTTCCACTTCAGGCCGATGTCTTTGCAAATGAGCGATTCGCTGGCGAAGGAGAGGTGTGGCCAGACGAGCTGTCCGAAATAGTTTGCTTTGCCGGCATTTATTGCTGGTTCCTTCCAGCAAGAAATGCATATCAAGAATCGCATATGCACCAATGCAAACCAAGACACCTGCTGGGCTAGCGATTGGGTGGATCAGACGAAAAGGCTGACGTGTTGGCACATATCCTAGTCCTTTACAGCGTCTTACCGACCTTTTTTTTTTCTTGGGGTCTTTCTATGTTCTCAACAAGGCCTCACGCATCATGTTATTTCATCAATACTAATACTAATACAAAAGTACAAGCTAAGAACACTGCTGTAAAGCGGACAACCTCAAACAATACGAATTTTTACAAATCACTCGCTAACATCTAAATAGTTTGCATTACTAAGGCTAAGCTCTAATGATTCATCTATTTCAGCTCTTGTTGATACCCTACACGAAGTCTTCCCTAACAGATTGGGCAGGCAGCCAAGAACGAGCCCAAAGTACTATTCATTTTCCTTCATCATCCAGTTCTTGAGCACACATGCAACTATCTACAGACCCGACCAACTTCTGTAGAACCCCGAAGGCGGCTATAACCCCTATACACGATCTTATTATTAGTCATGGTTGAAAAAGCGCTTTTTATCAAAATTTAGACAGACCATTAGACCAGTTCATGTGTAGTCCTTTACAATACTACATTATTACGACCCTAGCGGGAGAAGGAGCAAGTAGTAAAAAGCCACCACGTGACGTGACGCCGCTGCGGATTTGCGAAACAGCTTTTTCCATCGAATTGTGATGGTAACGACTCCAAAAATGAAGTTATATTCGTAATGATAACCGCTATGACTCGTATTGGATAAGTTTTAAGGCGATACTGCTGCTCTTCGTGAGATAGCATTGCCGCAGCAATATCGAATCTGCTGATCCAATAACCCCCTCAAAACTGCATAGCATTGCCGAAATTTTGCTGTGCCTAACACCCTAGTTTCAAGCTTTATGCAAGATTCGCTGGTACCTAGTTCGATTCGCTGGCACCTAGTTCGAATCGCTGGTGCATCGTTCGATTCGCTAGCGATTCGCTCGACTCGAGCGATTCGCTAGCGATTCGCTCGATTCGCTAGCGATTCGAGCGATTCGCTAGCGATTCGCTATCGACTCGAGCGATTCGCTAGCGATTCGGCTATTCCGATTCTCGAGCGTGAGATCGTTATTCATGTTGACCGCTTTACCGAGATATACGTAAGAGGAGACTCGCTCGATCTCCTGGCCTTCTAGGAGGATCGGCTGGTACTGAACTTGTTCGTTGTGCATCCACTGAGTCTTGCCGGGATGAATTTGTAGTCCGATTTTGCCGGCTTCCTGCCTGATGAGGCTCAGGGATTGCGCAATGTCGGCGGGGTCCTCGCCTATCAGAACACAGTCATCAGCGAAGAGGAGATGCGTTAAGCGAACGCCGTCGATGTTCACTCCTCCGGGCAACGAGATTCGCCTCATGATGTTCTCGAGCGCAATAGCGAACAAGTTCGGGGACGTAACCTCGCCTTGTCTGACGCCGCGCCGGATTTGAACACGGACCGGTGTTTTTATGAGTTTGATATCGGTATAACAGCCCGTGTTGCACTGCCGCGTGATTCTAATATAGGGCTCGGGGATACCGCACTCGCGCATGGCGTTGTATACACTCTCATGCTCCACTGTGTCGAAGGCCTTTTTGAAATCGATAAACAGAAGACACAGTGGGGTGCGGTACTCGCGGCAACGTTCCGTCAGCTGTGATATTACATGAATATGGTCAATAGTGGAGAAGCATGAACGGAACCCGGCTTGTTCTACACTCATGTATTCGTCGATGCAACGGCGTATTCTGTTGAGGACAAGGCGGGAGAAGACCTTCAACACCTGGGACAGGAGACATATTGGGCGGAAGTTGTTAAGATCGTGCTGCGGTCCTTTCTTGTGAATGAGCAGCGTAGTAGAGCCCCTCCAAGCGCTCGGGATTACTCCTTCGCGCAATATGCGGTCGAACAACACGCGGAGAGGGTCCACTATCTCCTCAGCCAGCATGGAGAGACTCTCCACTCTCACACGATCTGGTCCCGGTTCCTCATCTGGCCAAGAGCAGCTAGCACCTTCTGCTCGTAGGATCGGTGGAATACCTTCATCTGATCCGTCACATCGTTCTCGGTAGGCTCCACCTTTACCTTTACAATTTGATATGTTATGTGGAAATTCAAGAAAAAGCAGCAACCCATTAGTTCAGCCTTAAAGTGAAGTATTAGGCCGAGCATTCATTATCCGCCGTTTTTCTTCTCATGACTTATGATTTTTTTCTGCTATTATTTTCTAAAGATTATGACATAGTCTGACGCGCGCAACAATCTCTTGTACATTTTGATGTATGACACTTGTGTAGTTGCTTCACTCTGGAGCTTACAAGTGAGCAAGTAAGCTCACGCTGCATGAGTGTGAGTTTTCTCGAAATCGACTGCTTCTGTGCTTCTGCACCTATCCGAGAGCGTTTTTGATTACGCATTTAATGTTGTTAAACGGCGGATAATTATGCTCAACCTGATATTCAGACCAGAGTATATTCGTTGAGTGTAGAGAATTCACCTTGCAAGAGATTGAAGAACGCGAATAGTAGAAGAGAATAAGGTCAAATCGATGGGTTCAAATGTGATTGCAAACATCAGAACTGCCACCTGAACGAGAAAATCTCATAACATTGATAAAAGTGATGACACAAACAAATTACGTGAAAACCGCAACGCATTGAGCAGGAAAAAATACCTGACAAGAGAGAAAACATACTAAACTGACCGAGTAGCGTAGCCAAAGTTACGAATGAAAGCATGACGTGAAGTTCCACGCACAGCACGCCACTAATACATTTTGAATCACGACTAAGATCCTAAATTGCAAAATATAGCATACGGAACAAGTGCTATGAAAAGAATATCTAGAAAAGAACAAAAAGAGCTCAAATTCCTACGAGTTTTCGACTCCTTTTCCATTTTCGCTCTTGCTCGAAAAACGATCGTAAAGGAGCCGGTGGCGTTTTGAAGCTGCAAAACTGGCATATGAACAAGAAAGCATCTCAGCAACGAACTGGAAAAGCAGTAACATTAATGAGCGCGCATTCTGGAACAATATGCAACCTCCGTTCCTGAAGAAAAGGGGAAATGTTTGATTTACACTGTAAGCTCAATTACGAATTATTGATGTGATCGAAATTTTGGCCACTTTTCGCACTTTATTTTCTGATCATAATATCAGCTAATCATGCAGGCTAATGCTTCAAGCAAATCATCAAGCTAATAAGGATAAAGGATAAAGCATTTGCCGTTGATCAATCCCTTTTTGGGATGCGGCACGCATTCTACTTCCATTTGTACATTCGTAGTTTGAATGCGATGTGGCCTATACAATGACTTGCGGGGGCCAGCCGATGTACAAGTCAGTGTTTTTATCCTCCCAGACAAGTCTGGTACCAATTAACCGACCCCGGAGGGATGGAAGGCTTGGTTGGCCCGGGCGACTCACGACCCAGGATTTGATCCCCGGACCGCTCGCGTGGTAAGCGCGCCACTTGTCACTACACCACTTCCGCCCTTTTCATCAGCTAATACTTCAATTAAAAGATACACATCTACTAACTAAGACAACGAAAGCAGTAGATGGACGCGTCTCTTCCGTGCGTCAGAACTGTAAGCGCGTAACCCATTCTCGAAGTTCACAACGTTCTTCAAAGCGCAAGTACGGCACATCTGCTGCTCTATCCTACTCACGGAAATGAATAATCCACATAGCTTATTAGCGGTGTCACCTCATGAAGATTTTCAGTACTTTCTCTCGCATTGGTCACGTTTGAAAATACTATGCTAAATAGTGCGGTAGGAAATAATGCGAAGACTCGACTGCTCGCGACGAAATGTGAAAACGACATTAAATGGACAGGAAGGAGGGAGAACGGCAGAAAACTGGTTCTAACAACAACATTGATGATGAAACGGAAAAAGCACAAAAACTATAAAACAGCTATCCACAGTGAGCTTAGCAGTTCACTGCGATCCAATGAAGAAGAATGCTAAGAGGTGTTCATCAGCACAATAGGCTCCAATGCCTCTAGCCAAAAGAAAAACCAACGTGGGTTTCAATACCGTGACGAGTTTAAGGGATAGTATGTGTATATGAGTCTCTACTCCGTCCTGTAATCTTTCATTTTTGGCACCAAAAAGCTTGAGAGTAGAAAGTAGAGCGAGCTGTTTGGTAATGACGATAGCGCACACCTCCTCCTTGCTAAGCACAGCCTTGGTACTACAGGATGTTACTTCTCTATTGACATCAAAAATTCCAATCCAAAACGTGTGCATGAGGGTATCATTACTTCGCGCAGTTGGCTCGACCATAAAAGTAACATAAACAACTACCTTTCACTTGATTCTTCAATAGTTGAAAGGCACTGAAGAGCATTCGCCAAACTGTTGGTGATGGATTTCTTACCGCTGGCCTGCAATCGCATTTCACACGATAAAATACTCAGAAAGAAGCGAGGAAATTTCGCAAAATGCAAAATAAAACTAACTTCCTTGGATAACACTTCTGACAAATGTCTATACAGGATTTCCGAAACGACTTCCCAAAGTATATCGATGTCTGCTAAACAATCCGTTGCATGGTTTATATCGCTGACAAAGGACGAGATCTGAAACAAACGCAGCTTGAGTGTATTCAAAGCCGAAAGCGCTTTTGAAAACATAATTTAGGGAACGCCGCCTTTTTGAGTGCGCACTCCACCCATTGTAGGTGGGCCTCCGCTCACTTCATATATGTTGGGAACACCTTAGACATTGCTTCCTACACCGATCTTTTTCGGATCTATGTATATGCTTCTCCTAACCGAGTTATGAACTTTCATCAAGTACCGCTTGATTCTAGAGAATGCCAAGCCCACCGAAAGTCGGATTCGATCTGGCTTATTGCACATCATTACCATTTTCCTCGGCTGTTTTGGAACCCAGCTGAAAATTTTGTCGACAGTGCCTCACACTCCAATGGCCGTCACACTAGTCGTGAGCGGAGCTCTAGTTAGCTGAGGTATGCTTTGTACTTCATGAGACGTAGCCCACCCACCCCTCACGACCAGGTCTCTCCAGGAAGTGGGAAATTTTCGTGACCACACTGTGAAAGACAGACGAAGCAGAGTACAGCTAGAAGGATCAGATAGGATTCCGAACACAGAACCATTATGCCCAGAGGAAATTTCAAGTTTCATCATTACATATTGGAGAGTAAGTCGCAATAGTGACTTCACAACTTGGAGCGCATGGAAATAAGCAAAGAAGAAACCTTCTCACAGACTGCTGAAAGGCGAAAAGAGGCGAAGTATGATGTAATGATCCATTCATTTTTCTAATTTTTTTCGAAGTGTTGCAAAATTTAGTGGAAATGCTGAGGTCACCGTTAGACTTTGCACACCTTTAACGAACATTTTGGGAGTAAAGCGCTTCGACTTCATTGCAGCGCACAGTGCAGCGCCGCGCACTGCAAAGCAGGCCAATCACCAATTCACGCCACGTACTCACCATCTTCGTCACACAAAGTGACGGTCCAGTTTTCCGAAATTTGGGGCAATGAATCTCCTGTATGGGCCGTCATGGAAAGAGAAACCTACTCGAGCCCGCAAATTTAAACCCTCGTAAACTCCTTGAAAATCCTGGGATGCAAAGATGACAAATACCTGAGTGCCTATAAAAACGTAACCCAAAAAATTGAAGAAGTGCTCGAAGGCTGGACAATCATTTTAAAAAACTATTTTTGATTGTCTCTTTCCCATAAAAATTCATAGTGAGAAGTGACTTCCTGAACGTTGTTTTCGAAATGCCATCAAAAGAAACGGTGCACCAGAATTTTGCAGGACTTCTCTACACTTTAACACGTTGACAACATCGCGCGTTTTGGCTTTTTGGCCGCGTGGGACCGGCGCGATTTTGCAGGCGCCGCCGCATCACATCAAATCCGTGGATTTTGAGCTTAAATACGCAAAACTTGTATGGCACCAATGTTTTCATTAATTACCGGGAGTTACAGTAACGGAAACTCGACCTAAATAACGTGTTAATGGCCATGAGAAGGCAAATTTTACTTACTTTCCTTTAGTGGTTCCAAAATTAATTTGGACGTGGTTGTTTCAGTAAAAACACATATCTTGCCATACGAATAGGTTTGTATTCACTTCTTTTATTATCTACATGTTTACGTTAATGAAAGAAAACGAGGAATGAACTGAACGGATATTTTCGTAAGGTCCGGAAAACCTCTGCCAAACTAAAGAATATTTGGCCATTCTGTGGGCACGTGCGGAAAAGTAAATTTATGGGTTGGCTTACATAGCGGCCACAACGTAGGACGCGGTGTTCAAACCGTTATGGTTTGGTGCATGGTCCAAGCTATAACAGCTCTAAGATGCCGAAATAACAAATGAAATGCAATGAAAAAGCAAAAAGTGAGAAACAATCACGCAAGCGTAGCATACAGCGATTAATAGTTGGCAATTACTGCAGGCTCTTCAGACTAACCAGCATCGCTTGTCAAGGCACATTTCCTCCTTGGAGCCTTCGTCAGCGCTCTGGAGGTCAGGTTTAATGTCAAAGATTGATATTAAAATTGATTTTACAGGATCTCGAAGGCGATTAGGCGGAAATTACAGCCTAACGAAGTGATTATTCCATCTTGGTCGCCGTTGAACAACCGTTCAACTAACGCCAGAACACACTATGGTAAAAAAGACCAAAAAGAACATGGATTCAAATTCAAACGTACATTATCCGTTCTTATATATTCCAAGATAAGGAATTCGAGGAGAGCTTCCAGTTGCTTGCGGCTGCAGTAGGTAGCGTATGATGAGAGGAAAGTCAAGAAGAGATCAGCTGCCTGAAATGAAACAGTTTCAGTCGACACGGTGACAATAACTGTTTTTCTACGAGCTAACATGCCATGTCACACGAGAAGCTTACCAAAAAAGAGAGAAATTTCAAACCTGTGAACGTAAACACAACTCCTTAACTTCGTTCGATGGAAGCTCAAGCAAGGACGACAACTCAATCATCATTTCAGCGCATCCAGTACGCCCAGGGTCCAATAAAACGGTAAGAGCTGACATATATGGACATTTCATCATTTCCTAGAGGAGAACACAAATATAGCAGATAATTCATTGGATTCAATAATGGTTCCCTACAAAGGCGTAGAGAAAACTATGAGAAAACAAAGGTGCACCTCTGAATAAGTTTTTTCAAGCCACAACTTGGACAGATTTTCTTCTTCGTGATACCTCTTGGCCACCATCAATAGCTGCACGAACAATTTCGCAATCCTGCATGCCTCGACTAGAATATATGTAATACGCTATTGTACCAAATATTCGATACAAAAGAACAAATCAAATTTCCAACCTCGCTTTTTATTTTTCCACAACAGTTTGATGGTGTCTGGTAAATGACTACATATCTCATGACGCAGTTTGTCATGCCGTAACACATGAGCGAAAGTTATGAGTTTCTCCACGAGAAAGGCGAAATTGCTAGAAGAAGTGACTTAAAGGGACAAGGACTATTTAATTTGATGCAAATCAGTAAAATGAACCGCACAAAAAACTCACCTAGCGTATTCATTGGCAATGTTACTGAGAATCAAATCATGGAATTCATGAAAGCGTTCTATGGCCGTACCAACACCAATAGATGCAAAATATTGGTATACGACATGCAATACTGGCGAGGTTGGTGAGAATTGGAATACCTGAATGGTAAAGAGGAAGGTTTATGACGCCACAGCAACGAACAAGAAGCCATATGAACCAACACTTACAATGCAACTCTTCAATATATCTACCAACGCATCGACTATCTCTTTCTCTAATCCGACAAGCTTTACAAGCAAAGTCTTGCAAGAAGCATCGTCACCTGAAATGACGCTCTTAAGGAAGCCTTGGTAGAAGCGTGGAATAATATTATTCTTGATACTCCGTAAAAAATCGGGCTTACATAAACCACACGTTTTTTTCAACGACAAAGGAATGAATGGGGAGATTGCGACTTTCTTCGTTCGATGGGGACTAAAAACTTCTAGTTTTATAGGAACATAAACGCCTTTTCAGAGTAA